AACAACCCACCTTTTGCATCTATTCTACACATAGACAGCGTGTGCTCATTTGTAACTTTTAAAGTCTGTACAGAGGATTTTAGAATATTTACCTTGTTTTGGAATTCGTCATGTACAAGTGGGAAGAATGACGTTATTTTCTGGAGACTGATTGACAAGAGACTGGTATTGAAATCACCTTGGAGTAACCCCCAGGAAATTTTATTTAAGTAAATAAAAATGTATCAGAAAATGCAAATTTAGACCTGGAGGGAAACCTAGATTGGTTTTATTTATCCTTTTCCCTTAACCAATGACCAAAGATTTCTTCATAGATGATCATCTCTTTCTAGAGTGAGGAATAAAAAAATAGATGTGTAGCATTTACTGTAGCCTAGGGAACATTCTAAATGATTTTCTCACATATATCCTTTTCTAGGTTTCTTGAAAGCATATAAGGTAGTTTGTTAGCTGGGCCATCCCTAACAAGATAAGCAATGGTCCTGCCTCCTGGAATTCATGTTCTGTTTTTGAGGTTCTGGGGATGGATCTTAGGACCTCATGCATGCTTGGCAAGCCATGTAGGGGTCGTGCTTTTCACTAGTCCTCGTATACTGAACATACTTGCCCTGCCTTGTACAACCTTTAAGATATTGAACTTGTGGCTCGAGGCTTGGTGATAAAACTGTTGTGGCTTCCTCATCATTGATTATCAATTTGAAGTAAGCTTAGCTATTATGTCTGTGGAGAAAAATCACATGAAGACTAAACAAAGGCCTTCATCCAACATTGAGACAGTGTCAGTCAGCTGTCCTATAAGTACATGCTGCTGCCTTAGCTCAGGTTTCAGATGACTGCCATCTGTCACCTTGACTGGGTCATCATGGTTGATCCTCAGGATCATCCAGCTAAGTAGCTCACATTTTCTTGACCTTCAGGAACTGTGACATAATGAATGTTAATTGTTCCTTTTGCAAGCTTTATCGAAATATGATTGACAATATAAATTGCCTACATTCAAGCTGTACACGTAAAACTTTGATACATATATCAAGGACACACAGATGAGAAATTAATGCATGTGGTGGTTTGAATGACAGTAATGTCCCTCATAGGCTCATGTATTGGAACCCTTGGTCTCCAGTTGATGGCACTGTTTAGGGAGGCTTAGGAAGCATGTCTTTTGGGGGGAAGTATGTCACTGGAGGCGACCTTTAAGACTATTTCCGGTTGCTCTCTGCTCTGTGCTGTGGTTCAAGATGGGAACGCCAGCATCCTGCTCCAGCCTCCATGCCTGTTTGACGCCTTCTCTTTACCTTCATGGACTTTAACCCTCTGCAACTAGAAGATAAAATAAGTGCTTCCTTCTAAAAGTTGCCTTGGTGACAGTGTTTTATCACGGTGACAGAAAAGTAACTAAGACAAAGCATTTGCCTCATGTAGTTACATTTTAAAAAGTGATTGCTTTAGTTAGCATACACAGTAGTTTGCTTCATTATGACATTTTATACGTGTATATCATGTACCCTGGTTCACAGTCCTTCCTGTATAGCTCTCTGGTTCCATCCTCCCACTAATACTGTCTATTTTGGCATCATGTATATATGAATTTATTGGGTATAATATAATATGTAGATTTCTCATATGAATGAAAACACGCAGCATTTGCCCTTCTGGGTCTCTTAATATGATGATCTTCAGTAAATGACGTTTTTCTTCTTTACAGCTGAATAGAATTCCACTGTGCATGTAGATGATTCACATTGTCTTTATCAGTCCGTGTTAATGGACATCTAAGCTGCTCCTGTCTTTTGGCTGTTGTGAACAGAGGTGCAGTGAACACAGCTGTATGGGCATTTCTGTGTATGCTGACTTTGGGCCCTTTGGGTATATGTCCATGCATGGTCAGCTAGATCATGTGTTAGCTCTAATTTTTCTTCTTTTTGAGGAGTTTTTCATTTGGCATTGTAAAAACTACTGAAAATCTATGCTTTCTGAAAATGTCAATTATATGACTCGTTATTCTCATATGGCCACTATGCTGTGCACTAGGCCTCCAGAACTTACTTCATAATTAGAACGGTATTCTCTTTGATCAACATCTCCCCATTTTCTCCACCTTTAACCTGTGGTAACTACATTCTACTGTCTGTTTGTTTAGGTTGAACAACTTGTAGGTGCCAGAGTAAGTGAGATCCTACATATTTCTGATTTATTTTTGTTTGGTGTACTGTTTTCCTGTATGTTTCTGATTTATTTTTGCTTGGTCTGCTGTCTTCCAGGTTCATCTACATTGTAATCAGCAGTGTTTGCTTATTGTTCTCTTAAGCCATATGTTATTAGAAATTTGTTACGCAGCAATAAATAATAAACACAGATTTTGGAAACTAAGACCCTAACATAAGAAATGTTTCTGGAATATCAGAGTGGCTGTGGAACTTGGGATAGCACAAGTATTCAGAGGACTCATGTTGGTGTAGGAAAAGTTCCTTAAAGATACAGCTGCAGCAGCTCGGTGCTTCCTAAGTAATAGTGGACAAGGCACTATAGGAAGGCACTATAGGGAAGAACATCCTATAGGGAATTTTTGCAGCTGTAGATAGCCAGCACAAGTAGTCACCTTTCTCCTTGGAGTATTTATGAGGATACATTGAAGTTATGAAACAGATTGCAGGCATGCAGCATTTTGAATAGTTGTTTAATCTTTGAACTACTTATTTTTGAGCCTAATTACTTTACCCCATATTGATGGGAGAGACACTTGTGCTTGACCACAGAATACTGACAGTTGGGCATGGACCTCGTATCTGGGGATTGGTCATAGGTGAATTAGGATTAAATGTCTCATGTGAGTGATAGGAATAGGCAGACAGCGAAGAATGATGGGTTATTATGGAATTGGGTATTAAGAATGTATTTAGAAGCATAGAATCCCATGAGAAACAAGTGGCAAACACTTCTAGTATTTGCCCAGCACAGGAATTTGTGAAGACTGGAGAGGCTGTGAACATCACAAAGCCTGAAATCTGGGGTTGGTTCCCACTTTGGTTTTAAGGTCTTTAAAGTTGTATCTTTGATTTTTTGACTTGTAAAATGGAGATAATAGTTCCAGACTCATAACAGGATAAGGAGTAAATGTCTTAGTACATAGGAAATGGGTAGGTGTGGTGATATTGTGTCCCTCAATATATTGTGCACCCTAATAAACTTTTCTGGGTCGAAGAACAGAACAGCCACTAGATGGACATAGAGGCCAGAAAATGGTAGCAGACACACCTTTAATATAGCATTCTGGAGGCAGAGATCCTTCCGGATCTCTGTGAGTTTAAAGCCACACTGGAAACAGAGCCAGGCATGGTGGCACACACCTTTAATCCCAGCACTTGAGATTTCATGTCTTGCTTGGGAAAGACATATGCCTTTAATTCTAGGAAGTGATGGCAGGAAGCAGAAAGGTATATAAGGCGTGAGGACCAGGAACTAGATAGAGGTCTTTTTAAGCTTTTAGCAGCAGTTCAGCTGAGATCCATTTGGATGAGGATTCAGAGGTTTCCAGTTTGAGGAAACAGCATCGGCTGAGAAGTTGCAAGGTGAGGTTAGCTGTGGCTTGTTCTGTTTCTCTGATCTTCTGAATTCATCCCAATACTCTCAAGTTTATTTTATTTTATTTTATTTATTTTATTTTTTATTAAAAAGACCTTTTAGAAATTCGTGTTCCAGGTAGGTATATTCCTAGTTCTTTTTAAATACTGTGTGTTATCTATTCTTATTACAAATAATAGAACTTATTATATGTATATTAACACTTCAGATATAAAGCAGTTATTATAACCAGCAACAAAATAAAAATGGACTAATCTCATCTTTGACTTTAATAACCATTACTATATATTCAGTGTTTAATTCACAGTATTTACTTACAATGTTGTTTAGATTAATAATTCTAAAAATGTAAGCAACCAACCAGCCAACTGAAAAAAAATCATGCCCCCGAGGCTATTATGGCCATTTATTATTATTTCTTTTATTGTAATGTTACGTTAAAATTTTCATTTGTTAGTAGAACAATAAAGCTTTTAAAGGTCTCACAGAAGCACCTCTAGAACTCCTTGTTATTGGAATCATTTTTTGTAATTTAATATTTTGAACATTCATAAAATATTGAATTATGATTGCTATGCTAGTTTATATATGCTAAAAATTAGAGAAACTTAATTAGAAACCTATATGTATTTCAAGAGTAGAGATTTAAGTTTTACTCATGAAAACATCGTAATGTGTTTCTAAGTACTAGTGTGCTTATTGTGCTATTCACTTACAATCCTTTAACCAGTCATGTGACATTATGAATATTTAGAAGCTTTTGAAAGTTGAGTTTTCCTTCAGATAATTAGAAAAATTTACGATTTTTGTATTTATCTTCATACGAATGTATGCACACACGTATGTGCAGATGTGTTTGTGTGTTCCTGTGTGTAAGTTCAGGCCTATTCATGCGACGGTATGAAGATCCTAGGACCACCTCAGGTATTTGTCCCCACTTTATCATTTTGGAGAGGGGAACAATTGTTCACTGCTGCCTCTGCCAGCTAGCCGGCCTTGGAGCATCCCATCCTGTCTGCTTATGTGGGTCCTGAGTCGCTGAACTTGGGTTCTCATGCTTGAGTGAGACACACTCTACCCACTGAGTGCCCACCCAGCCTTTCTAATTCATACTATTGTAATGAACCTCTATAACTTTATAAAGATTCTTAAATTCAAACTGGAAATTACTAGGTAATAATCATGCAAACATATATGAGTGTAGTTTTTCATGTACTTAATATTATAAAATACTGGTTGAAATAATTTATATCTAAAATTAGAGGCTTTATGGAGAAAACAGGTTGAAAATTAAATTATGTGTATTTACAAATTTCATATTGAGGCAATTAGATCCAATACTGTAATTGAGGTCAAGTAACTTTAGTATAATAACATTATTCCACTTTTTTTGCATTTAAACTTGACAAAATACTCAGAGGTCACCATAACTGATGCTTCTGAAGATGACTGTGAATATGAAGAGGTAACTTGTTAATTTTACATCTCAGTGAGTTCACTGTGGTCTTCATATTATTGGTTTGTCTTATTTTCTGGAACATATAAGTACTTTAAGATGAACTATGTGTGGAACAAAAGTTAGCTATTGGCTGATTACGAGTGAGTTGGGGAATACTGTCTAAACACGTACACTGGGTGGGACATCTGCCTGTTCTGGTTCCCCCTCACCATTTAGGTTCAGTCCTGTCACCTCCCTTGTCTGTGGCCTCATAGATGGTCATTCCTGTGTGGGACTTTTTCCCATTGTCCAGTTTGCTTTTAACAGGGACTCCAGATTGCCAGTACCAGTTGGAGGCCAGGCTTCTGCTTTCTTCTATCCTAATTTTAGTTCTGGAAAACATGCTCCTGTCTCAGAAATTTCCTTTAATTCATTGCTTCTGAGACTTGGATGTAAAGTCACTTTTAGATGTCAGAAACTGAACGAAATTGTGGAAGTGAGCCTGGCCTGTGACCTTGACAGGCGAGAAGCTTGTTAGTACACAGACTTAGGTCATCTTTAGAAGCATACAGTGTCCTACATGGAGTATATTTCTTGGAAGCATTATTTAGGAAGAAATATTCTGAAGTGACATGTAGATGTGTCCCCTTGTGTTTCCATATCAGCATTAATTAAAAGTGATACTTTTTATTTAGTTGTATAATTTACTTCCTCAGTGCAAGAGACTGTGTGAGACCTGCTCATTATTGTACCCTATTTCTGGCTGTTAGTTACCCATTGTCAACTATAGTCCAAAAATTGGTCCTGAAAACCCCATAAATAAAGAGTAAGTTTTAAATGACTTTATTGTAGTCTGTTGTTATGATTGTTATGTTACTATTATCATCATTACTAGTCTCTTATTGTGCCCATTTTATAAATTAAACTTTATTGCATGCTTATATGGGAACAATAGTATATGTAAGGTTGGGAACTAACCACAGTTTGAACCATCTGCATCATGTCTGAGAATGTACCCTTCATATAAGCAGGGAATTCTGTATGGTACTTGACATTTCTGCCCATTCTTCCTGCCCTTGTCTAGATACCAGATGACAATTTCAGCATTCCAGAAGGAGAAGAAGATCTGGCCAAAGCAATTCACATGGTTCAAGAGCAGGCTACAGACGTTCAGATTCTGGTGAGACTTGAACACATCTCTAGCTTGTGGTGTAACAGGAATACTTTTTATATGAAGCCTTGGAGGTAATGTAACCAAATTATGAAACAGAACACTATAATCTATATCGTTTCACTTTGATTAATTTTCACAAAACACTTAAAGTAGGCTTTGTTTATTCTTTGCAACATCATTCTCCAGACAATGTCTACTCTTCTTTCCAACAAATGATACCTTCCCTGAGAACTGATCAATCCAATCAGAATTAAACCAAAATTATTCAACACTGTTGTTGAATGGATCAACTACAGATTATTTAGTAGACTTTATACGGGTTTTGTATCTTTGTTTTCCTGGAAGCATCCAGCCTACATGGAATGCTTACCATTTCATGACACTTTCTTCTCTGGGACATGAAACCAATTTTGTTAAGAATAAGATAAGAAATTATATGTGGTTATCACATGAATTAAAGTAAATAAGACTCTTGACATCTCTATAACATTGAAAAGAATGTTAAAAAATTGACCATAATTTATTGCAGTTAAAATATTTATAATTACACCCTAACATTAATTTCAAAGGATGTTTTTCTTTAGTTGAAAGCTTGGCTTCTTCAGTGCAAGATGGTCTGTTAGACCTTGCCCTTCTTATTCTCTATCTCAGTCTCTCTACATTTAGTAGACTTTTTTCTAGGAAGCCATTCAATTTTCCAATCACCTATATACTTAACAATTGAAAAAGAACTGAAAAGATTTCATGAGTCCACAATTGATTAGATTCTGTTGACTGCAGTGATCTAGCTCATTACCAAGTGTATTTTGTAATAAAGTCAGTAGATAAGTTCCTTCTAGAAAACCACAAAGTGGGTCCTCCTACATAGTACTATTAGTCTGTTGCATATCTCAATGCTATAATTTATAGGGAAAAAATTTAAAATGCAGCCTTTTGGATAAAGTAAAAAGGCATATTTATTCACTGATCATTTTCACTCTTTTTTTTTTTTTTTAAATTTATTTATTTATTATGTATACAGTGTTCTGTCTGCATGTATCCCTGCAGGCCAGAAGAGGGCACCAGATCTCATTACAGATGGTTGTGAGCCACCATGTGGTTGCTGGGAATTGAACTCAGGACCTCTGGAAGAACAGCCAGTGCTCTTAACCTCTGAGCCATCTCTCCAGCCCCATTTTCACTCTTAATTTATCATTTTGTTAATAGATACCATGGTTTGAATTCTGACTAAAATGTATGTATATTATATTTAAAGTGATTTTTGAACACATGGAAAAATAAGTAATGTTATTGATCTAATTTAGTTATATTTCATACTACAGTCTTTTCCAGATGTTAACATAAATAGGTAGGGATATATGTATGTCTATGGGTATATGTAGGTATGAACACATGTATTTGTGTGTATTCCTTGGAGATGGTCATTATATAATTTTATAAAAGGAAAGGTTTACATAAGTATATTATTACAATTTTTTGCAAATTTTAGTTTCTTTGATTTTTCTTTATTTTACTATCTTTTGCAGTGCTAACATATCTGTAATGAATTCCAATTTTTATAAAATTAGAAGTTTGACTTTGAAAGATTAAAATAAAATGGCAGTTAAATTTCTGACATTTTGGGTTCATTTTCTCCTTACTTTTCCTCCATCTATAAAACATTCAGTAGAATAAAGTCATTTTTTTGAGAATGTTTCTGTATTTTTTGCGCCATCTGATTGATGACTAACCCAAGCCACAGTGCTGCTTATCAGTTCCAGTGTGTAAGGGAGCTCAGACAATACCACTCTTCTCACTCATTTCTTAAATTCTGTTTTGGAAAGTGTATTTACTTTTCATAAGATATAAATGGTAGTATATAAAGTTTTTATTGTTGACTGGACATGATGGTACATGCCTTTAATCCCAATACTCAGGAGGCAGAGGCAGGCAGATCTCTATAAGTTTGAGGTCAGCCTGGTCTGTAGAGTGAGTTCCAGGATAGCCAGAGCTATATAGTGAGACCCTATCTTGAACCCCCCACACACACCAAAAAAAAAAAAAAAAGTTTTATAGTAGCCAGTTGTGGAGGCATACCGTGGTAGGATATGCTAAAGAGGCCGAGGTAGGAGGATCATGGGTGAGAGGCCAGCCTAGGTTGCACTATAAAACAGTTGTGTTGTAATTATTTTAAGACAATTAAGTAAATATTTCATATTTCAATGAACATAATAACATTTTCAAATGAACATAAATAGTCTCTCCGGAGTTTCCTTCATTTTCTCTCTAAAAATGTTTCCAAATGAAAAATTCAAATTTGTCTCTTGTCTTTATTTTTTAACATTTTTTTAAATTGATTCTTTGAGAATTTTAAGTCATGCACCCCAATCCCACTGATTTCTGAGCCCTTCTATGTCAACCCTTTACCCTTGTATCCTCCCCAAGAATAAACAAACAAACAAACAAACAAGCATTTTGCTCCTCTGTCTTCCCTATCTTGCCATCACATATTCTTCTGTTGGAGTGGCCTTGGGAGTTGGGTGTCACTCAGTATACCTTTTTGCTCAAACAGCTTTACTTGCAAATGTTCATTGCACTGAATTGTTGGTCTGGTTCAATGCCTCTGGGGCTTCTGTCACACCATCAATACTGGATTCTCATCGAAACTTCTCTTGAATATCCTGCTGTTGCCCAAGTCATAGAGATCCTGCAGCTAGGGTGCCACAGGACCAGTCTCTTCATGAGCTCCAGGAGGTCCTACATGATGTTGGGGTGGGCCAACTCAAGCCCTAGATATTGGCCTGGGTGGTAGTTACATTGGTCAGTCTGGGCCTCTACCAGGACCGCCCACTCAGATGAGGGTCAGGGCCAGCTCTCCCTCATGCAGGAGCAAGCTCTACACTTGTGGCGGCCAGGGTGGCAGGGACAGTTCTACCAGGGCCATTGAGAGTTGGGTCCAGCTTTTCTGAGAGCAGAGGGAGACAGATATCCCTCTTAAAGCAGCCAGTGAGAGACAGGACCAATTCTTCTATGCCCAGGCCACTGGGGCCAGCTATCCCATGGCCCCTGGTGGTAACATGGGCACAGATATCATCACAGACTCCTGCTGCAGTTGGACCATGGACCTACACATGGCCCTTGGCTGCAGCTTGGGCCTGGACATCACCATGGCCTTGGGTGGCAATACAAACCACTTGGATTAGTTTGTCCCTGGTGGCAGCATGGCCCTCAGACATCAACATGGTCTTAGGTGGTAGCCCATCCATATGGCCTTTGGTGATAGCACAGCCTATGGACATCAGACCCTGGCTGTGGTAGGGCCACAAACTCAGACATGGCTCTCGGCAGCAGCACAGGCCAGAAGTCACATGGCACCAGGTGTCAGCGTAGGCCCCCATATCAGCCTATCCCTCACTGCTGCCCTGTCTCAGTCTTCCATTCCATCTCTCTCCACAGCTCAGGCCCCTGTCCCCTTCTTCTCCCCCATTTCTCCACCACATACCTGATCATCTTAGTGGCACCTGCCCAGTCCCCCCAAGGCCTGCTGGCTTCCTGCCCATATTTCTCATATAGGTATCTAAAATTTGCTCTGTCAAGAGAGTTAAAATGGCGGGTCTTGAGTACCTTAAGTATTGGTAGCAGCTACTCTGCTGTCCCACGTGGTGTGAAAGTCATCATGGACAGCGAGATGACAAAGGGCCATGGTGATGCTCCATTATGATGGAATCGTGGTACATGCTCTTTTCAGCATCCCTTCTTCCTGCTGTAGTCTTTCTAAAACATGAGGTACCAAAATCGTTACGTTACTTAATAATAATATTTGAAAGAATCAACGTATCTCTTTGTTTCTTTTCCCTTGGCTTTTTAGTTTGCTCTATTGTGTTGAAAGGGAGAGTTTACTTCTTTATAGTCCTTCAGAGGACCTAATCTTACTCTGGCCTCAGCACCTTTGTGGTTGCTAATGCTGTGTCTGGCTCTGATCTAGGATTGTGTTCAGATACACCTGAATCCAGTGTTAATCACAGTTTGGAAGGACGCAGTCCTGACTGTTGAAATTTTGAAAACTCAAATCCCTAAAACCACAATTTCTGTTAGGAAAATGGCTGTATAAGAGGGATGAAGAGCTCAATTCTGAGAATGGAATTAGTGACTTTTTGGTTATTCAAAGGATATTTGCTGTCTTACTTCTACTGCTATGAGAAAACACTGGCAAAAAGCAAATTGGGAAGGAAATTTATTTTAGCTCACAGTTCTAAATCACAGTCCATCACTGAGGGAAGTCAGAGCAAGAACTCAAACAGTCCAGGAACCAAGAGACAAGAGCTATGGAGGAATGAATGCTGCTTACTGGCTTGCTCAGCCCACTTTCTTGTAGCATCCAGAAACACCAGCCCAGGGGTGGCCCTACCCACAGAGAGCTCTGAGTACTCAGTGATTTTCTAGCCTAGAGTCAAAATGCCACCATGATCTCCACAATTCGTCTGTTTTGTCACAGCTATCCCCTTTTCCTAGTGCCATTTTCTGTTTTACCCAGGGTTTCTACTGCTATGTTAAAACTTGATGACCAAAAGAAACATAGGGTGGAAATGCTTATTTTGTCCAACAGCTTGTATCCATCCCATCATCCAGGAAAATCAAGACAATGACTCAAGACAGGAACCAGGAGGTAGGAGTTGAGGCAGAGGCCATGGAGGAGTGCTGCTTACAGGGTCGATTTCATGGCTTGTTCAACCTGCTTTCTTTTTTTTTTCTTTTTAAATATTTATTCTTGAAAATTTCATATATACACACAATGAAATATAATCATGTCAATATCCAGTTATCTTACTGTCCTCTGGGTCCCCACTGTAACACTTTTCCCTCCCAAATTCTTATTTTTGTAATATTGCACTAAGTCCAATTATTGCTACCAATATGTGCATATGTGAGGGACCATCCACTATAGCATAGGAATTCTTTCAAGGCCATGCCTTGAAAGAAGAGTGATTCTCCACTCACCATACATTATCAACAGCCAGTTCCTCCTTAGTTGGGGTGGAAGCTTGTGAGTTCCTCCCTTCCCCATGTTGGAAATTTGTCAATCTGCTTTCTTAAACTATCTAGGACCACCCACCCAGGAGTGGCACCCCCTCCTTTGATTTGAGCTTACCCACAATCAATCATTAATCAAGGAAATGCTCCAGCAGGCCTGCCCCCTGGCCAGTTTGGTAGGGAATTTTTCTCAATTGATATTCTCTCTTCCCAAATGACCCTGGCCTGTGTCAGGTTGACATAAAAACTAGCCAACACAGTTGCTCAGTTAATTAATCATGTACTAATTTTATCCCTTCATATATTATCCCATGCTTTCTTCAAAAAGCCCACTTCATCAGAAAAGGCAAGTCTGGCAGGCTTAGCAGCCTTCTGAATAGAAGCTGCTTGTGGTCATGGAAATTCATCCAGCATTACAAGGCATCAAATGGTGAGCTGTTCTTGTAGAGGATTTGACCACTGAGGAACGTGACTGCTGATTTACTGCTAAAGGAGGAAGAACTAGTGCATGCTTCACCTTGGTTGGTGGATGGTACTTTAAGAACTCAGGGAAATGCAAGTGAAAACGACTCTGAGATACCGTTTTACACCTGTCAGAATGTCTAAGGTCAGAAACACTGATGACAGCTTATGTTGGAGAGGATGCGGAACAAGGAGAACATTCCTCCACTGTTGGTCAGAGTGCAAACTTGCACAGCCACTCTGGAAAACAGTATGGCGACTTCTCAGAAAATTTGGAATCAATCTACCTCACGACCCAATGATACCACTCTTGGGCATATACCCATGGGATGCTCAATCATACTACAAGAACACTTGCTCAACTATGTTCATAGCAGCACTATTTGTAATAGCCAGAACCTGGAAACAACCTAGATGCCCCTCAACCAAAAAATGAATAAAGAAAATGTATGTGTACACAATGGAGTACTACTCAGCTGTAAAAAAACAATGACATCATGAAATTTGCATGCAAATGGATGGGACTAGAAAATATCCTGAGTGAGGTAACCCAGACTCAGAAAGACAAACATGATATGTGCTTACCCATAAGTTGATACTAGATGTAAAGCAAAGGATAATCAGATTACAACCCATAGCTCCAGGGAAGTTAGGAAACAAGGAAGACCCTAAGAGGGATGTACAGATCTTCTTGGGAAAGGGAAACAGGAGATCTCCATGAATAAACTGGGGATGAGGCAGGGCAATAGAGGGGAGGGGATGGGGATGAGAACATGAGGGAATGAGATGGTTGAGCTGGGGGAGGTAGGGAGTGGGAGAGCAATGAAAGAGTTATCTTGATAGAGGGAGACATTATAGTATAAGGGAGAAACCTGGTGCTAGGGAAATTATCAGGAATCCATAAGGATGACCCTAGATTAGACTACTAGCAACAGTGGTAAGGTGCTTGAACTGGCCTACCCTGGTAATTAGATTAGTGAATACCCTAACTGTCAATCAGCAGATGCAGAGATCCACAACCAAGCACCAGTCAGAGCTCCAGGAATCCAGATGAAGAGAGGGAAGAGGGATTATATGAACAAGGGGGGGGGGGTCAAGATCATGATGGGGAAATCTACAGACACA